CCCCAACCTCCTACCCAGCCCCTTCCCAAGTTCCCTCTGGCACATGCAGCTTCTGGAACCCGCTCCAGCCCTGCCCGCCTGAGTGCCAGGCCCAGCACAGGCTCAGTGCACCTGTTGAGTACCTCACCCGACTGAAGCTGTGCGCTGGGAGCCACCACTGCCTGGCGCTTACAAACCAGAGCAGGTACCTACCTGTGGAGAGAGGTCTAGAAGCACAGAAAGCTGACACTGGCCTGATTGTGGTTACCCACCTCTGACAGGGTGATGGCTCAATTCTCCTTCTCAGCGATTTTCCTTCTCAATTCCCCTCCCCATCCCGGCCTAGTGTGGATGATCCATGAGACCATCAGGGTGCAGTGGAAGGAAGGGGGCTCCCCCCTTGGCCCCCATGGGGGTGGGGCAGAGCACAGTGAATGGCCACCACCAGTGTGTTCTAGAAGAGTCGTGCTTGGGGCTGACGGACAAGGAGCAGTCTCCCCATGAATCATTCAGAGTCTTTCTCGGTGAGCATCGGAACCGTCAGGACTCCATCATCTAATTCTTCCTTCCAGCTTTGCTTCAAATGCATCTTTGTTGTAGAAATCAGCCAGTCCGCAGGTTGGGAGAGCCAGCCCCTAAATACAGCTCCCTGCTTCCCAGTCCGCTCGCCCCGACCCTCTGCTCACTGTCTGTTCTTAGTATAACAAAACTTCCATATTGCGTTCACCTGTCTTCCCTTCTTCTAATCTTACAAGGACTCAGAAAAGGCATGGAAGCCCTCGTAGCAACAGCTGACGTCTTTTTCTTCCATTCTTTGCAAGCTTATCACTAGTTTTTGGCACAGAAGGAACTGTTCTTTTCCCCGATACTGAGTACATGAGCAGCCTCAATTCTGGATGATTTATTTAAGGGCCCAGGAGTTGCTGTGCCAGTGGCCTGCGAGTGTCAACATGAACTGCACAGTGACAGGAGTGGATGTGGTGGTGACGGCTCATGGCTCCGGGCCAGTCCTGACAGGCTGCCAGACGGGGTTAGAGAAACCAGGCTGGGCCAGAAGATTACGTCCCCAACATTTAGGTCCCACAAGAGCATCAGTCATTTTTTTAAAGGAGGTTGCAGTTCCCTGCTTCTCAGCCAGAGTCTCCCTCTATCTTCCGTGGACCCTGGTAATCCTCTCCCTCCTTACACCCCTGAGGTTCTGCAATGAAGAAAGGCTAGAGGCACTGCCCTGGACAGCAGCCACCTACCCCGGTGGCTATTTAAATCTAAATTCAAATTAAGTGGAATTACAACTTCAGTTCCTCCGGGGCACTAGCACATGTGTCCCGGACAGTGCAGTCACGGAGTATTTCTGTCATTGTACAAAGTGGTGGATGGCACTGGGCTCAGGGCACACTGACTGGTTGTTTTGGGTCCCTTGCTGTTTAAGCCGATGAGAGACTGAGGAATTCAGTTTTGTTTGTAGGTTGTTTTTTTTAAAATTTTTATTTTTATTTTTATAAATATGTCTTTATTGATTTCAGAGAGAGGAAGGGAGAGGGAAAGAGAGAAACATCAGTGATGAGAGAGTCATTGATCAGCTGCCTCCTGCCCCCCACCACTGGGGATCGAGCCCCCAACCCGGGCATGTGCCATGACTGGGAATCAGCTGCCATCTCCTGGATCCTAGGTCGACGCTCAACCGCTGAGCCATGCTGTCCAGGCTAGGATGCATTTTTTTCTTGAGGTTGTATGAAGAATGCACCTGGCCCCACTGGATTGGCTTCTTGGAGGAAGACATGTTTCTGTAACTGGAGACAGGCCCTGCATCAAGCTGCTATGGCTTCAGCTCTTGGAGCTCAGTTTCCTCATCTGTCAAATGGGGACATTCGTGAGGACCGAGTGAGTCCATGTGTGTAAAACTCAGAGAACAGAATGGTGCCTGGACCATTGAATGCTCATGAGCAATAGTTGTTGTCATTGTCACCTGTGAGGACAGGTGCATTCTCTGCTGGGCTGGGCCTTCATGGACAGATGAATGGCTGTGAGTCACCTTGTGTCTCTTTTGAAGCGGCAGGCACCCCGGAAAACAGCGCCCCGGTGGAATCGGAGCCGAGCCAGTGGGTGTGCAAAGTGTGTTCTGCCACCTTCCTGGAGCTGCAGCTCCTGAACGGTAAGAGGGGCAGGGGTGGGGAGCCGGTTGTTGAGTTTTTTTTTTAATTAAAAAATTTTTTAATTTAAATTTTATTATTTTTTAATGCTCACTCGAGGACACATTTCTAATTGCTTTTACAGCTAGAGGAGGAAGAGAGAGAAGGGAGGGAAGAGAGAGAGGGAGGGAGGAAGAAGGAGAGAGAGAGAAACAGATGTGAGAGAGAAAATAGATGAGCTGCCTCCTGCCCGCACCCTCACCGGGGATCTCACCAGCAGCCTGGTGGGAATCAAACCCGCGACCTTTTGGTGTATTGGACGACCCTCCAACCAACTGAGCCACACCGCCCAGGGCGAGTTAGGTTTTGTTGAGCTCCCTGTGATTTGGGCCCCACGTGCACACCATCCCTGTTGGACAGCAAAAGGCGTGGCCGTCCGGCCGCTCCCCGGGTTCATGCGAGCAGCTCCAGACCTGCGTGCATGTGACACAGGCCCCCCAGCCCCTCCCTCAGCTCATGCTTTCCCGCTTTGACTTGAAGTCCCTCTGTGTACCTGGCATCACGAGGTCTGTTCTCTTATGCTCGAGCTGAGCAGTGTATTCCAGTGTGGGGCTGGGATTATCTAGACCTCCCAGGTGTTCTCGGCCGGGTGGGCTTGTTGTTAGCTCGTTCTGCTGTGCGACCGAACCACAGACCCTCCCTGTGGTACGTGCCCTGGAACATCGTGTTTGCTTTGTCATTTTCTTCCCCTCAGTAGCTCCTTGAGGGGCACTCACGCAGCGCAGTGTCCCTAAATGTGGGACAAGTGCAGGCACAGCAGCCACTCACAGCGCCGAGTCGGACCAGTGGAGATGTGCAATAGGAAGGGCCATTCCTCGTCCCTCAGTGCGCACAGGTGCCCCCTGTCATCGGAGTGCGCGGGTCCCCATCCTTCCGTTGGCCCTTCCTCCCTCCTGCTGGTGGCCTGTGGTCCAGCTGGTCTGAGCCAGGCTCACCTTCATTCGGAAGCTTGGCCACTCTCATCCAGTTTTCTTGTCTTGGGAGGTTTCTGAGGCTTCAGTTGAAAATAAAGCACAGTTTTTATTTTTTTGCTTGCAGTGTTTTTAAAGACAGTTTGTTTATCACAAATTGAATATTTTTCTTTTCCTCATAGAGGTTACATTTTTAAGTAATTGTGTTATGCTTTGTTGTGGAAAAATTAGAAAATACAAATAAGCTTAAAGAAGAAGATGAAAGCTGCCTGGAATGTTACAATCTAGAGAGAACCACTTTCGTGTTTTCATGTATCCTTCCCTGTTCTCCTTGCACATACGTGTACGCACAGGCTTTTAGTTTATATAGAACTGTGTGTGGTGGACCTGCCCTGCTTTTATCACCTAATTGACTCTTTGAAATACTAATTGTGTTTGATGCATCGGGAATGCTTTATTTTCAAAAGCAGTGGAAATACAATTTGTTTACCTATGCAGAGGCCACACTATTAGCAAATAAAATTGAAAACAGAGAGACAAGCAGCGGGGTTGGGAGCGGATGCTGACGGGCTCCCTCTGCCCCTGTGCATGTGCCTCTCTCTCCTGCAGAGCATCTGCTGGGTCACTTGGAACAAACCAAAAGCCTTCCCCCGGCCAGCCAGCAGGACGGGGCTCCGGAGAAGGAACCTGACGGGTCCCGGGGGGAGCCTCCCGCAGTTCCCAAGAGCATCGGTACCGCCAAAGAGCAGAAGAAAAAGCCTCGAAGAGGGAGAAAACCCAAAGCCTCAAAACCAGAGCAGCCGCTGGTCATCATTGAAGGCAAGGAGCCCGCAGGTGAGAGCTGGTCCTTGGAGACTGGGAGGGACCCGAGGCCACATCACCTGTCACCTGTCACCTGCGTTGGTGCATCGAAACTCAGCCCTGAGAGCCCACATGGAGTTGGAACCTAAGCCCTTCTCTTTTTCTGTAAATTAGCTCTTTGGATTACTATTTACCTGTGATACCATTTGCACTGCGAGAGTGTGCAGGGTGTGAACTCAGACAGGTGGCTCCCNTTACTATTTACCTGTGATACCATTTGCACTGCGAGAGTGTGCAGGGTATGAACTCAGACAGGTGGGTCCACCTATGTCAGCAGCGCCCGATCAAGACAGAGCATTTCATCTCCCACCACTTTCCCCCGTCTCTCGTGGGTCAGTCTTGCCCATCCTGGGAGTCCGTGTGAATGGCACTCCTGTGCCGTGTCTCGCACATGGCAGGTATGGTGACTGGTCCACGTTGGGTTTTGGCAACCCCTCTTTGTGGCCGGGCACCCCGGCGTCCACTCCTCCGTCACTGCAGGTGGACATGTAGCTTTTTCCCCAGCTGCTGAAGCTCATTCTCCGTGTCGACATCCACAGTTGAGTTTGGAGGGACCTTTGACCCACCTTCTCCGGTGCCTCACGGGTCCCCTCACTACCGTTGTCACTGACCACTGGGCAGTTTTCTTCTGCTACTGTTACATCCCAGGATTCCTTTTGTGAGAACGAGAAAGAAATTCTTTCTGATCATTAAAAAAGAGAATTAGAGGAACAGCCTTCACGGAATAGTCTCCGCTTTGCCCTGTGCTGCCCCGGTGCTGGCCGTCTGTGCTGTGTGGACCTGGCAGGGCTGGAGGGGTTCAGACTTCTCTGGGCGTCTCCCCTTCTCTAAACAGGCGGGGGGCCAGCGCAGGGGCAGGAGCCTGTTCAGTGATTGTCTTACTAATCTTAGTTGCGCTACGAAGATGCGTTAGGAGGCAGAGTGGTGGGACCGGTGCAGATTTTTGTGTGTGATCTTCCCTATTTCATTTGTCCAGAGGTTCGGGCCTGGGTCCCGATTACTGTGATTATTTTGTATATGACTCTTGTGCAGAACCGTTGTCTGCTTTTGAACATACTCAGGGTGGCTTGTCTAATTATAAAATTAATATTCCTGAATCTCTTTCATGAGTAACTTAATAAATTTTAAGATCCTGCTGTATATCAAAATGTCTTGGTTTTGGTGGGTACGAACAGGGATTGAAATAGTGCTTTGACTGCTGTGGTTTTAGAAAAGAACCACAGTTTATAACTCCAGTGTTTACTTAAGAATATCATTTTGTTTTTCTATATATACAGATAAATACGTGAATTGTAAAATATTGCTAGTTTTTCTTTCTTTTCTTTTTACTTGTGTAAATCTTGTAATGTGTGCCGATAGCCTTGGCCTGGCCGTGGTCCCTTTGGGTGTGTCGTCTGGGTTGGGTGGGTTCTGTCCCCTGCCCTGGTGATGACGTGGCCTGTCCCATTCCTTCTGCACAGAGCAAGTAGCAGAGATCATCACTGAGGTGCCGCCAGACGAGCCCGTGACCTCGGCACCGGACGAGCACATCATGGAGCTGGTTTTGGGGAAACTGGCCACCACCACCAGCGACACCACTTCAGTGCCAAAGTGAGTCCTGCCACAGCACTCGAGACGGGAAGCGCGGTGGCAGCGAGTTCATTGGGAGGGAAGGCACCTCCCAGTGGGAAGGCCTGAGGAGAGGGGGGTTTGTTTCTCCTGGTGGAAACGGACGAGCTTGGGAAGCAGCAGGAACATGGACCCAGGAGTTTAATGGTGCATCCACTGTGAAAACAGTTTAAAAAATGTTTTTTTGGTGGCAAAATAGAAATAACATAAAATTTGCCATCTTAATCATTTTTAAGAGTAGAGTTCAGTGGTTTTAAATACATTCACGTGCATATTGTAGCAGGTGTCAGCGTCCTTCCCTTTTAAGGCTGAGCAATGCTCCGTCGTAGCGTGGGCCGCATTCTCTCCACACATTCCCGCTTCGGGGCGCGTGGCTTGGCTATTATGAGTAGCGCTGCTGTGGGAAAGCAGCGTTGTATTTGAGATTCTGTAAATTTAACACCTCACTTTGTGTTGCACTTTTCCTTTTGGTGCACAAGGAAAATATTTGTATTTTATTTTTATTGGGAAATTGTTGCCTGAGGTCGAATAAGCTGGTGGCAATTTCTTCTCTCCGGCTCTTTGGAGTTCCTCTTACTGCTGTCGAAATGTGCTGGGTCCTTCGCGGTCCGGAAACCTGCGGAAGTACTGAAACCAAAGTCATGTCAGGAGTGGTGTTGCCTGTTTATTTATTTACAGCCCATCTTAGTGCCCAGAGGGTTTCCATGGAAACAGTCAGAAGTACACTTAACAGGCAGAAGAAATTTTAAAAATCAGGCTCAGGGAAAATATAAACCAGTAGAGGCCAGACCACTGAGGAAGGCGGCACAGACAAAGCCTCTCTGGTTGGGGCACAAACTGAGCTTGAAGCTTCCTGGCGGCCAGAGTTAAATGCAGTAAGATGTGTGGCTGGTGCATACGCTTCCTGTGGCATCACATGTTCCAGGTGCCTCACCTGGATGCCCCTGACGCTGGGTAATGCCCGAGCTTGTCCCCTCCTTTCTCCCATCGAGCTGGGATTATTCGGAAGGACTCTTTCCAAGGCGACTGTAACCGTGAACTCTTGCCCCAGGGAGCCAGCTCCCACCTTCTTACCGCTTGCTTGTCTCCCTGGGCAGGTTCCCCCATCACCCGAGCAGCAGCATCACCCTCAAGAGGAGCCTGATTCTCTCGACCCGCCACGGCATCCGGAGGAAGCTGGTCCGGCAGCTGGGGGAGCACCGGCGGGTGTACCAGTGCGGCACCTGCAGCAAGGTCTTCCAGAACAGCAGCAACCTGAGCCGGCACGTGCGCTCGCACGGTGAGGCCCGGCCCGCGCGGCGCCGAC